ATGTGACAAAGAGCTCAGTTTGCATCATCTTTTAATGGATGGAGTTACTAGTTTTGCATGCCTACCATATAGTATTAATTATATATCATTTTAAGGTATCTTTAGTAAATTGATGAGTTCAAATCTTACAATTCAAATTTTTTTTCTTTTTATAAACAAAAATCTTGACAAACGAGCCACAAATTTGTTGACAACAAAAAATAAACCACAAATTCGTTTTAAGTTTGGTGTCCAAAATTCTCAGAACTTGCATGACCATATAGACTAAACTATGATTAATTACGAAACAAGAAGGGTGGTATCAAACATGCGTGGGAATATAGATAACTGGGTATGCTAAATAAAGAGCATAAAATCTTTTTACCTCACAGAACATATTTGAGATTTGCAGTCTATAGCAGTGTAGGAATATATCTAGATAATGGCACCATGAACAAAAAATGACTGCTTAGATTCGAGTCCAGTGATATATCTGACACCATATTTTATAAATTATCAAAGATATGATTGGAACCTTCATTTCAGTTTCTAATAGAACCTTGTTGCAAAAAATGCATACGAAGCTATCAAAAACACGAAAGACGTGATTCACAGAACGTATTGGTGTGACTTATATTTGGAATTAGCATATGGTGCAGCATAGGCCAAAGCGATATGCGTTTAACAGGGCTTTAACAGTTCTGAAGAGTCCCCCACATTACAATCCACCGAAAAGATATTCTAGCCTAGTCCAACCATTTCTCCGATATCAAGCAGCTATCCTGGCTTAGGGAATGCAACAAAGCCGCGAACAAGGTGGCTCATCATATGCCTATGCTTTTCAATATTTTGATCTGTGAACAAGTACTAATGTACCATTTTGGTTACAACTAGTTGATGAGGCTAATAAACCCGTTACATTGAGAAATTAACTACTATAATTATTAAAAATGAGAGAAAGACTAGTAAATATTGATTCCATTGCTAACAAATTTAATACGTATACTTGATTACAAATCAACTCTCCAAAATCCATTTTTCTATTTGATGACCTAATTATCTTTTGAAAACGAAGCCGTATTGATCACGAAGAGACCAATTGAGTGAGAGTCAAAGGAGATGAGTATTGTGAATCATCAGTAAGCATAAGATTGACGATGGTTCGAGCAGCAGCTTCCGTGGGATGACCGTAGCGATCCCAGAAGAGATATTTGGTTCGGTCTGGACATAACTTTGACAGGGGAAGACAAGGAGACTCCGCGTTTAAATCACCATCTCCACAACACGCTGATGTCACGTCAGTAAAACCTGAAATCAGAGATGTTAGATACGTTTTGGTTCGATCTTGTGTGCTAATGTGTTACTCTGTTTTTTTTTTTCTTTTCTTTCTAATATCACCACTTTTGGTTTGGTACGTGGATCATGTGTGTCCCCTCATTTTAATATAGTGATCCCACTTTGGAACTTTCGGTTGCTTGGCATTTGTAATTTGTATCGCTTAATAAATATTCAATACATGTAGATTTTATAAGTTTATACTAAAGAAATTCTGTTCTTTTTTTATCCTTTAGGAAAACAATAGGGTAATATGAAAACAGGGTCGTTTTTGGTGAATAACCAAAAAAATAATAATTAAAATGTTAGGAAAAATGGGATATGTGGCAAATTGGAGACCATTGGATTTAGGGTTTTGGATTACTTTTTAAATTATATTTTTTTGTTGTATTTTTTGCAAATTCTCCCTATGAAAAAAAGAAGATGATAAAAAAAAAATCAAATGTGTTTTTGAATAAAGTAACTGGAAATTTTTCTTTCCAATTATAGATCTTATGTGAGATTTTTAGAACTTTAAAATGTTTAAGAAATGAT